CTGGTGGCTGTCTCATTGACAGCTGCTAGAGGAGCTTCCGCGATTCTCACTGTGAAAATCACAGTGAGAAGACACTGAACGTCCATAGGAAAGCATTGAGTAATGCTTTCCTATGGGCGGTTTAAATGCGCGCGCGCGCCTCTTGCCGCGCATGTGCATTTCGGAGCTGAGTGGCAGACACTGGGGAGTCCGACGCTGGAGAAAGGTAAATGCTGAAGACACACACACACACTCTCACGAACAGACACATACACACTAGCTAACAGACACACACATTTACTGACAGAGACACACTCAGCGACAGACATACATACACTTTCACTGACAAACACACACTCACTAACAGACATCAAACACACTCAGTAACAGACATACACAGTAATACACTCACTAGCAGACACACACCCAATAACAGACACATTCACTGACACACACACTAACACACGCACTAACACAAACAAACATTGACACACTAACACACACACACACTAACACACACACACACACACTCTAACACACACATACACTAACACACACTAACACACACACATAACACACACACTAACACACACACACACATACACTAACACACACACACTCTAACACACACACACATACACTAACACACACACATACACTAACACACACACTCTAACACACACACACACTAACACACACATACACTAACACACACACTCTAACACACACACACACTAACACACACATACACTAACACACACACACACATACTAACACACACACACACACATTTCTTTTCTTCAAATTTAATCCCCCCAGCCTCCTTACCTTTTGGAGTGCTGGGGGGATTCCCTGGGGTCCAGTGGTGCTGCTGGGCTCCTGGTCACTGGGTGGGCGGGCTGCCTGGCCGGCCGGCGCGCAAGGGAGCACTTTTTAGCTCCCTCGCGCGCCGCGTAGGGATGCCGGCGCCGGAAGATGACGTCATCTTCCGGCTCCGGTATCAGTGCGTTGCGCGAGGGAGCTGAAGAGGGAGCACTGAGTGCTCCCTCGCCCGCCCACCTGCCCGACCGGCCACCTGCCTGCTGGGGTCAGCAGGGCCAGCCTCGGGGGGCCCTGGGGTGGTCGGCTCCTGGGCCCCCCAGGGGAAGAGGCTGGCCCTGGGCGTACATACCGGGTCGCAGGGGCGGCCGGGCCCCCTGGTGGGCCGGGCCCGGTCGCAGCTGCGACCCCTGCGACCCTGGTATGTACGCCACTGGCCACGCTATTTTGAAGTTGTCCATCTGTGTTTGTCGTGGCTCGTTGAGTATCGAGTACATAAGTGAGAGTGCCTACTTGGGCATTGTCCTGGATTTGCTAATTCTTTCTATGTGTTCTGTGTGTGTCGAGCTATTTAAAGTGATAGACTGGGACAGTATCCCCTTTAGTTGTAGATATGAGAATATCGCTCTTTACGGTAGGCCATAGCTGTGTTGGATGTCCGGGAACTGCCTCATCTCCCCCCTGTTGTAAAGGTTTTTAAGTGTCGTACACCCACTCTCGATCCATGGGCGATAGTCAAAGTAAGGGTTAGTGATGTGTACATTTCTCAGTATGTACCATTGGGTAATAAATATAAAAGAAACAAATTAAAACCAATGTGGCTTAGTAGAGAAGTAAAACAAGAGATTAAAAATAAGAAAAGGGCATTTAGAGCATTTAAATCAGACAAATCAAAGGCATCCTATTTAAGATATAAGGAAGCCAATAACACTTGCAAAAAGGCAATTAAAGTGGCTAAACTAGAAAATGAGAAATTGATAGCTAAAGAATGCAAAACCAACCCCCAAATTTTTTTCAAGTACATCAATTCTAAAAAAACAAAAAATGAAAGTGTAGGTACACTTGAAACAGAGTTGGGTTTATTAGCTAATGAAGACCAGGAAAAAGCAGAAATTTTAAATAACTATTTTTCTTCAGTATATATTAATGAGGATCCTATGGCAAGAGATATGCAAATGATTGCTGCAAAAAACTTGCAAATAACTTGTGATTGGATAACTCGAGACAAGGTGCTACAGCTATTAAAGAAAATTAATGTAAATAAAGCTCCAGGGCCTGACGGTATTCACCCACGAGTACTTAAGGAGCTAAGTGGGGAAATAAGTGAACCCCTGTATTTAATTTTTCAAGATTCTTTTGTTTCAGGTGTTGTACCGGAGGATTGGAGGAAGGCAGATGTTGTTCCTATATTTAAAAAGGGTTCAAAATCCTTGCCTGGAAATTATAGACCTGTGAGCTTAACTTCTGTAACTGGGAAAATATTTGAAGGCTATTAAGGGATAATATTCAGGAATTCATTGGGAAGAACTTTGGTATTAGCAATAATCAGCATGGTTTTATAAAACATAGGTGATGTCAAACTAACCTAATTGCATTCTACGAAGAAGTAAGTAGAAGTATAGATCACGGGTGTTGCAGTGGATGTGATCTACTTGGATTTTGCCAAGGCATTTGATACGGTTCCTCACAATAAGTTAGTCTTCAAACTAAAAGAAATTGGTCTAGATGAATATTCTTGTTCTTGGGTAGAACATTGGCTTAAGGATAGAGTACAACGAGTTGTAATTAATGGTTAATTTTCAGGCTGGACAAAAGTGGTAAGTGGTGTCCCTCAGGATTCTGTTTTGGGACCACTTCTATTTAACATATTTATAAATGATCTTGAAATAGGCATTGGAAGCCATGTAAATCGCTGGTAAAACCACACCTTGACTATGCTGTGCAATTTTGGGCGCCTGTTCTAAAGAAGGATATCATGGCACTGGAGAGGGTCCAGAGACGAGCTACAAAATTGATAAAAGGAATGGAGCATTTTAGTTATGAAGAAAGGTTACAAAAATTAAATCGATTTTAGTTTGGAAAAACGGCGCCTGAGAGGGGATATGATAACCTTATACAAATATATTTGAGGCCAGTACAAACCTTTATCTGGAAATCTATTCATAAACAGGGCTAGACATAAGACACAAGGTCACACATTTAGGCTGGAAGAAAGGAGATTTCATCTAAGGCAAAGAAAAGGTTTTTTTACAGTAAGAACAATAAGGATATGGAATTCTCTGCCTGAAGAGGTGGTTTTGTCAGAGTCCATACAGATGTTTAAACTGAAATTGGATAAATACTTACAAAAACATAACATACAGGGAGATCATTTCTAATTAGTGTGGTAATAGCTGCTTGATCCAAGGAGACATCTGACTGCTATTTTGGGGTCAAGAAGGAATTTTTTCCTAGTTTGTGTCAAAATTGGAAGCGCTTCAGACCAGGTTTTTTTGCCTTCTTTTGGATCTACAGCAACAACATTTGTGAGGAAGGCTGAACTTGATGGACGCAAGTCTCTTTTCAGCTATGTAACTTTGTGTATGCTGTAGATGGGAGTGGCCCCTGACCAGACGTTTTTGAATCCCAGTTGATGTCGGGTCATGTCCCAGTTTTTTATCAGGATTTCTGTGGTGGCTGGTATGGTACCCATAGTAGGTACTTTAGGCCTCTTGGGCATACCCAGGTCGACTCCATCTCCACCCATTGTGGTTGGTTGTGAGCTGTATGTGCTTGTAGCGCTGTCGCTAGTAGTGCTGCTCTGTAATATGTTTGAATCTCTGGTAAGCCGAGTCCTCCCTGTGACTGAGATTTAGTAAGGACCTTCGTAGCTATCCTTATTTTCTTTTATGCCCATACGAAGGCATTGATGTTTTTTTTGTCGTAGTTTTTTTTGTCGTAGGGCCGGACTGGGAATTAAAAGCAGCCCTGGAAAAAAAATATTTACCAGCCCCATAATGCATCGCGCCAGCATAGTGTGCAGTTACAGAGTTAGAACAGATAACTTAAAATTAAAAAGTACTTCAACGTAAAAAGCGCACTCATAGGCTTCAAAATAAACAAAAGTGCAGATTTATTTTAAGCAGACGTGCCTTTGCATGTAATCAATGTTTCAGTCCAACTACCTTGACATATTAAGGAAAGCTTGTTAATGGGACTGAAATGGTGAATGTATGTAGGGCACAACTGAATTTTTTTTATTTTGAAGTCCTGTGGGTGTGCTCTTCACTTTAAATATGTTATTGTGCTGGAGTATGCACCTAGCAACAAGACTGGGCCAATATCTGCTCATTACATATGGTACATATTAATGAAATTTCTCTGTGTATTATGCATTTATAAATGTACATTAATATGTGTAAATATAATAGAGAGATAGATATATATATATATATATAAAAAAAACTAATACACACATTAATATACATGTCATATACTAATGGCGGATCCAGAGCCTGAGCCTGAGCCGGGCACTTGTAGATTATTTAAAGAAATATTCCATGCACAATAACCACTACTCCTCTGTGTAGTGGTTATGGTGCCAGGAGTGTCGGCACCCCCTCCCAGAGTAAGTAGTCAAACCGTTTAAGAACAGTTTGACAACTTACCTGGAGTCTGCTGGGATATGGGGCTGTAGTAGGGTATAGGAGCAGTGGTGCAATGTGTGTGAAAGGTTCAGTGTGTGGGTGGGCAGTGTGTAAATGTGTATGGTGTGTGTCTGTGGGGACAGTGTGTGAATGTGTATGGTGTGTGTGGGGCAGTGTGTGTATGGGGCTAGAGTTCACTCCTACTACTGGGACCACCAGGAAGTGGTGAGAGTGAACTCTAGCCAGGGCCGGCCTTAGGGGTGTGCGAGCTGTGCGACCGCACAGGGCGCCATGGAACAGGGGGCGCCCTGTGGCCGACACAGCTCACTCATGGCCGGAGTGCAGGGGAGCTAAAAGAGGTACCTGGCTGGAGGATTAATTGTTCTCCACCCAGGTCTATTTAAAAAAAAAAAAATCGGGGCAGAGGGGGCGGGGTTTACCGAGCGGCGGAGGCGGGGCTTATCGAGAGGCGGAGACGGGGCTAATACCTCCCGAAGCCCCTGCTGTACAGGAAGAGGGAAAGACGCTCACTCACTGACAGACGCACACTCACTGACAGACACACACTCTCATATACACTGACAAACAATGACATACACACATACACTATTACTTGGACACACACTGACAGATGCACACTCTCACTGACAGACGCAAGCACTCACTGAAAGATGCACGACTCCACTGACCGACACACACACACTGACTGACACACACTCACTGACCGACACACACTCACTGACCGACACACACTCACTGACCGACACACACTCACTGACCGACACATACACACTCACTGACCGACACATACACACTCACTGACGACACATACACACTCACTGACGACACATACACACTCACTGACTGACACATACACACTCACTGAGCAACACACACATTCACTCACAGACACACACACATTCACTTACAGACACACACAATTACACACTTACAGACACACACAATTACACACTTACAGACACACACACACACACACACACACACATTCACTTCAAAATAAACACTCACAGACACACACACAGACATTTCCACTAACACTCACAAACTAATTTTTTACATTTATTTTAAATCCACCCAGCCTCCCTGGGAAAGCTGGAGTGGATTTCTTACCAGCAGTCCAGTGTGGCTGCTGGGCAGGCAGGCAGGGGGCGCACAGGCTGAGTAAGCAGCGCTTAGTGATGCCGGGAGCCGGACTGACGCCATATTCTGGCTCCCGGCTTCATTAAGCGGCGCAGAGGAAGCTGAGCAGGAAGAGCTCAGGTGAGTATGCTCCTTCGCTGCCCGCTGCCAGCCTTGGGGGGGCTCAAAAGTGGCCAGCCAGTCAGCTCTTGAGCCCCCCAGGATGCGAGGCAAGCAAGGGATCTGCCTGGGGGTTTGGAGGGATGCTTTTTTTTGCTGCCCCCTGCAAAGTGGCGCCCAAGGCAGATGCCTTGTTTGCCTCGTGATACACACGTCCCCGGTGCCTGTGTGTGTTACTGTATTCAGGCAACTTGGTGGGAGGTGGGGGGGGCGCCGTGAAGACTTTTTGCACAGGGCGCCTAATTGCCTAAGGCCAGCCCTGACTCTAGCCCGTAGCTCCAGGGCTAGAGTTCACCCTCGTGAGAGCCAGAGCGTTGCCCCAGGTCCTCTCTTCCTCCCCTGCCGACTGGCTGCACGGTGCCTGTGGAACGGGGAGGGAGATCGGCCGGCAGGGGAAAGCCTTGGGGGCTTTGTGATATATACTGCCCCTATATGTGTCTCTTTATCTCCAGCCCCT